TACTTTGTTTTTATGGTTTTGTTAATTATCAGCCTTATCATGAGCTTCATTTTACCCGAACTGGTTTACTTTTTACTTTTTGTTTACGGGTATTTATTATGGGCGGATGAAAAATTTTCGGGTGATTTTTTTCGGTCGAAATTCAGGATACGGCTGTATACGTTTACGTACATACATATTTGTTTGTAAATTATAAAGTGTTGCCATTAAATAAACGAAATTTATCATAAGCTTATAACTAATCTGAGCATTACTTCGTTGAAATTGATCACCTTTGTTAATATATGGTTCATAGTCCTTAATTTCTCATTTCCTCCGTTAAATTTTTGTAAATACCGTATTTTTTGGGACAAATTATGCCATTGTCCCGTACGGCTGGAAAAAAAAATCTGGCAACACTATTTTATAGTTTTTTTTTTTTTAGTTTAGAGTTGTGTCGTTATTGCAAAGGGCCATCGATATGTATGTAGTTATGTATACAGTGTACATAAATATGTATTAACATACCTTTGTATGCATTCAAAAATATGTTAGCATTTTCACTTATCACTAACCATGCTGCGCGAAAGCCTTTTTCTTTGCTCATGCGCCGCCATATTGGCAAACTTCACTAGCGGCGCATCGGCCGTATAACTTTATATTTAATATGCTTGCACTTGCACTTCATCACAAACACTGCATTATAGAATATTGAAATCGGAACTACACTGTAAACACCTAACAAAACATATTTTTGGACTTAAATACTTAATTTAAACCACAATTTAATAAAACTTTTTACTAGAACCGAAGAGCAGAAAAACGAGCACCAAACACTAGCGAAAGTTGAAATACGACTAAGGATACGGAATTGGTGATGGCAGAAACACAGGGAGGAAGGAAATCAAATTTTAAATTATAATACATATTCAATGTAGTTGCGACACAAACCTCATAAAAAAGAAATCAAATAGATTTTCTAATTAGTCGATATGTATGTACTACCAGAGAACTTAGATAGATAGAGAAGGTGCAAACTGAAAGTGGAAACTATTCGCGGACGAAAAATTAACAGCGTTAGAAAAGTTCAAGTCGGAATGTAAAAATTCTGTTGAATTTAATGTTGATAACATAATACAATGTTGAGCAACATGAAATGTGATGTTCTTTGTGAGCAAATAAACGAAAATATGGTAAATCTTCACATAATTTTCATTAATTTGTAATTTTTGTTAAATTTTTT